GTATTTGCGTGGACTACGGATGAAATGCCTGGCATCCCAGCAGAATTGACAGTTCGTAAGCTCAGCACGGACCCCACCAGAAGGCCGGTGGTGCAAAAACGCCACCTTTTTGGCCTCGAGAAGCAAGCTGCCATAGATGAAGAGATACAAAAGCTGTTACAGGCAGGCTTCATCAGGAGAGTGGAGTACTCTGAATGGGTGTCCAACCCTGTGCTCGTAAAAAAGCCAAACGGCAAGTGGAGGATGTGTATTGATTTCACCAACATCAATGATGCATGTCCAAAAGACCCTCATCCATTGCCAAATGTTGAGAAGTTGGTAGAACGGGCAGCTGGGCATGAACGGATGAGTTTTCTAGACGCCAGCTCGGGTTACCACCAGGTCCAGTTGTTGCTAGACGACCAGGAAAAAACAGCTTTTTACGCTGGTGACGCAATATACTGCTATGTCATGATGCCGTTTGGCCTCAAAAATGCTGGAGCAACATACCAGAAGCTGGTGCAAATCATCTTTAAGCTCCAGATCGGCAGAAACATAGAAGTGTATGTAGATGATATGATAGTCACCAGCATGCGAGCTGAGGATCACATTGACGACCTGGATGAAACTTTTCAAAACTTACGCCGAGCCCAGATGAAGCTGAATCCCTTGAAATGCACGTTTGCTGTGGAATCAGGGAAATTCCTAGGGTACGTGGTATCCAAGAAAGGAATCGAAATAAATCCAGAGAAGGTCGAGGCCGTTCAGCAGATGGAGCCTCCCAAGACTATAAAAGATGTACAGCGTCTGACAGGTCGGGTAGCTGCGTTGCACAGGTTTATAGCCAGATCGGCAAAAAGGTGTCTTCCGTTCTTCAAAGCTCTGCGGGAGCCTAAAAACTTTCAGTGGACTGATGAATGTCAACAGGCGTTTGACGAACTCAAACAATATTTGGCATCTGCACCCCTGCTGTCCAAGCATGTCGATGGGGAATGTTTATTTCTTTATCTGGGGGTCACAGATGAAGCGGTGAGTTCAAGAGAATAAGAATCAGAAGCCTATCTGCTACGTGAGCAAGGTGTTACAAGGTGCCGAGCAAAACTACCCGCTAGCAGAAAAGGCTGCTTTTGCTTTGGTCTGCACAGCTCGTAAGCTGAGAACTTATTTTCAGTCTCATCAGATTGTTGTTTATACCGATTTACCATTAAGAAAAATACTGCAGAAACCTGAACTCTCTAGTCAGCTTATTGGATGGAGCGTCGAGCTGAGTGAATATGACCTGAAGTTTCGGCCACGCACAACCATAAAAGGCCAGGCCATTGCGGACTTTCTGGTGGAGTGCATCTCAGCAACTAAGGAAGAAAAAGCACCCGAGCACCCAGTCTGGGTTTTGTATGTTGACGGAGCTGCTAACATTGAAGGGTCCGGTGCTGGAGCTGTGTTGATAGGCCCAGATGGCTTTAAATCTGAGCATGCATTGCGGTTTAAATTCCAGACCACTAATAATGCTGCCGAGTATGAAGCCCTCATTTATGGTTTGAAGCTGGCGTCCGAGCTGAAGGTACAAAGCATTCAGGTGTTCAGCGACTCTCAGCTCGTTGTGGGCCAGGTGAATGGCAGTTGCGACATCAGGGATCCTCAGCTCAATCGTTATGCCTCTGTGGTCAACAGATTGAAGTCGATATTTGCCCTTTTCCAAATTGATAAAATACCAAGAGCAGATAACCACCGAGCTGACGAGCTGTCAAAGTTGGCCTCCTCGCAGGACATTAACCCTCAGAGATCAACAATTGTCGAGGTACTCGACGCACCGAGCTACATTGATTTCGCAGTCGAGTGTCAACTGCTAAGCACAGATCCCTCTACACCGAGCTGGACCACCCTGCTCATAAATTATCTACAAAGTGGCGAGCTACCTGAAGACCAGTCCGCTGCAAAATTGATTAAACGCAGGGCGGCACATTTCACTTTGTTAGATAACCAGCTTTACAAGCGAGTAGCCTCAATGCCCCTATTACGCTGCCTTACTCCTTATGAAGCTGAATACGCTGTGAGAGAAGTTCACGAGGGAGTATGTGGCACGCACATCGGTGGCAGAACTTTAGCTCGGAAACTCTTGAGGCACGGTTATTACTAGCCCACTATGGTCGAGGACGCACAGAACTATGTCAAAAAGTGCCCGACCTGCCAGTTTAATGCTAATGACATTCACATGCCAGGTATCCGAGCTCGTTCTAAAGTTCATGCAAACTTGGTGACTGTTTATGAACTGAGCGTAAGTATCCTTGTTAAAACAGGAGAAATGCTCTCATCACTTACGCCTCCTTGGCCCTTTGCTCAATGGGGAGTCGACCTGCTCGGCCCTTTCATGAAAGGCAAAGGAGGATGCACTTACCTCGTTGTCGCGGTGGATTATTTCACCAAGTGGATAGAAGCTAAACCATTATCCATGACAACAGAGAAGAAAATAGAAGAATTCCTGTTTAATTCAATATTATGCAGGTATTTTTCGGTGACTTAAGCTATTGGCACATTATATGTAATTATAATTTGTAGCTCAGCTCGGGCATCTGTTTCCAGGTTCGGCATACCTAAACGGATCATAGCTGATAATGGTCCGCAGTTCCGAGCCGCGGCGCTGAGGTCGTTCTGCAATGATTATGGAATTGAGTTCGCCTTGACATCTGTGTATACTCCACAGTCCAATGGGTTGACAAGCCTCAATAAAGTGCTGTGGTCATGTCGCGTGTTTTGGTTGCACATACTAATTGGGTTGACGAGCTCAATAAAGTGCTGTGATCATGTCGTACTACGCCCAGCTCGGCCACAGGCGAAACCCCGTTCAGCCTGGCATACGGAGCTGAGGCCGTCATCCCCGTCGAGGTCGGATTGCCATCCGATAGATCAGATCGTCATGACGATCAGAATAATGAACAACTCTTAAGAGAGAACCTAGACCTTGTGGAAGAAATCAGGGAGATGTCCCGAATAAGAAACATGGCACATCAAAGTCGTGTTGCAAAATTTTACAATAAAAGAGTTCGAGCTCGCCAGTTTCAAGTCGGCGATCTGGTCCTATGTAAAGCTGGTTTAACTAACACTCATTCACACATGGGCAAGCTCGCTTCTAATTGGGAAGGCCCCTATATGGTTGTTCAAGTTAAACGACCTGGCTCTTACGTGTTAGCAGATATGCAGGGACGTCAGTTGCCTTACATTTGGAACATACAGAATCTTAGAAAATTTTACAGTTAACCTGTATACTATTCTTTTATTCAAGTTGTTATTCGACAGTTGTAAACAATGATATACCGAAAATACAACAAAAATTCAAAGGAAAACTCATTTTTGTATTTCATCAAAGATGTTTACATTGAAGGTACATATGATATGAATCCATTGATCAACTACAAAAATGCAAAAGCAAAGTACAAAAGATCAAAAGAAAAAACCCTAAATCTAGTCATCCGTCAGATCGATGGGCATGGATGCATCAGTAGCAGCTGCAGGAGAGCGAGCTGGAGGAGACCAGGCTGCGGGCTTAGAGACTGGTGCGCTGACGGGCGAGCTGGCTGGCACCACAGTGGGCTGAGAGTTGGGTGGGGTGCTTGAAGGCTCCTGCTCAGCTACAGGAGCACCCTCTACCCATGCGTCAAACGAGGGCAGCCCTGCTGGATCCTCCCCGTCCTCCAGCACGGACGGTGGCCAGACGGGCACGCCCTCCTCGTTTAAATCCCATCTCAGCCTCACAGTTGTGTCAGCGAGGGGAGCAAGGCTCTTACCCTGTTCGTCAAGCTCCTCCTCGTCAAAGAATACCAGCTCGCGGATTGGAAAATCTGGGCGGTGGTGCAGCACCTTCCCACGAATCTCGTTGTAGATCTCTGTGGTCATGTTAGCAAACGCCACCGCCACTGCGTCTTGGAACGTGGACGAGCCGACCAGCCATTCTGCCCCTTGAGCTCGGGCAATACCGACCGAGCGCGAATGAGATGCCTTCAATGCGTTCAGCGCCTCTTCAGTAGCGCTGAGGTTCTTGTCAGCCTCAGCGAACCTGGAACCTTAGGGAACCCAGCTCGGTCTGAGCACGGTCCCTCTTGTCCTCAGCCCTCTTAGCTCGCTCTTCAACCCGAGCGGCCTCATCCTTTGCCGCTTGAATCCCGCTTTCTCTCTCGGCACGGGCTCGCTCTAGCTCCTCCTTGAGCTCATTGATCCTATTGGCAAGCTCGTCCGCCCAGCTCTCTGCAGCCGCAGCTCGGTTCGCCATTTCAGAGCCTTGCAGACGATTCACATCGTCCACAAGGCTAGCCTTCTCAGCAGCCAGCTGTTTGCACTTTGAACTGAGCTCGCCGTTCTGTGTACGAGCCTCCTGCTCACTCTCGTAGAGCGCTACAGCGTAGCTAAACGCCTGCCAAACAGCAACAATCGTAAGTACCTAGTAAGGAAAAGTAAAACACTCAAGCAAGTACGAGCAAATACTTACATCCATTAGTTTGATCATGGCGACCTGGCCGCCATGCTGCTGCACAAAAGCTTTTGCCCGCCGACTATCCGCCGGGGGCACAAAGCTGTGCATACCTTGCACCATGGCGGGCTGGCACTTCGCCCGCACATAGCTGAAGCCCTCAGGATAAGCAATCCTGGGGCCCGACATCGAAGCTGATGTAAAGGCGGGCTCGACTGCTGCCTGCGCAGTCGCTGACGGCGCATTGGGTGAACGTACGGTTGCAGGACGGGCCGCCTGCGCAGGCTGAGTTCCCCCGCTTGTTCTGCGCCGAGCAAGGGGGACCTCATCTTCCTCGCTCTCCGTCTCCTCGCGTGCACGTCTACGTGCACTCGGGGCCGCAGCCTCAGCTCTGTGTTCAGCTCGCGGCCTAGATGCCGAGCTGGACCTTCGTTGGGATGAGCTGCGCGATTAAGGCGTGGCTGGCGGTCACTCGTCAAACCGCGTTTGTCTCTGTGAGGTGCTGCCCGGCCCGTGACCTTGTGAGCTCTGTGCTCGTTGACGTTGGCGTTCGAGAATGCTGCTCATCTCTCCTGCACAAACAAATATATAAGACTCAGCCCGGCTAATATTCAAGATAGATGATAAAAATATACCTTTTGTGAACAGGTTTGCCACGTCGACAAACCCGAACACGACGAGCTGCTCCGAGGTAACCAAGGCGTCTAGATCTATCAGATTCTCCCTCCTCGCATAGTCCAGCAGTTGATTTTTAAGGTCTGTGTCCCGTGGCAGTAATTGAGGGTAGTTGACATGTGCATTGGGCACACGCCACTCAGATAGCCGGGCAGCGAGGTCGTTGCTTATCCTCTCTGTTCGCGTGTCGCGAACAAATATGAACTGCCTCTTCCACCTCGCCACTTTGTTCCGGACATTCTTGAACAATTGGCTCTTGTCTCTCTCGGAGAGGTAGTACCACTTCGCGCCTCGGGAGTTGGGACACAGCCGGTATTGAAACAGCGACCTGAACACGATCGCCTTGGCCGGTACCTCCAACCTCGCACACAACAGCATAAAGCCTATTATGAAGCTTATGCTGTTGGGCGTCAGCTGCGTCAGAGCGAGCTTGTAGTCCACCAGCAAGTCGAATACCAAGCCGGGCAGGGGGAATCGCAGGCCGGCCTCAAAGTGATCCACGTACACGGGTATCCAGCCCGTCTGTGATACCGGCCCTCTCGCTCTTGGCTCCAGTCCGGAGCAGGATTGTTCTGGGGATGTGGTGCGCCCTCACCATCTCCTCCAATCTCCTATATCCACTTATTGAGGGCGCACAATCCGCTACTTCATGATGTAGGGCGGCCCAGAACCTAAATCCAGTGGGCAGGTCCTTGGGCGCCTTTCACAGATTGCTCAACCTGCCCGTGATGGTTCTGCTTTCCCATTCTCCCATTACAGGCCGATCTGAGACATGGCTCACTACATCCCCCGCCCCCTCCTCGTGGCCTGGTGTCCCCTCAGAGGACGAGCTGCTCGACGGCGCACTAGGGTGGTCGCCACCGTTGTCTCTGGCGCTGGAACTGGTACTACTCTCAGACGCCATTGTTTCCGGCACATCCTGCAACGCCGGCGGCACTATCATCGTGATAGGCTCTACAGATATAACCCCTTCTTCTCCCCCCTCTCTGCCCTGGTTACCTCGTAGCTCTGTGAGTTCTCTCAACGAAACCATTTTACCTGAAAATGACGCGAAGTTGGTTCGGTGTACTGTTCTTCAAGCTGGAGTGTCTTGCTTCAGAGAATTTCAAAAGGCTTCAAGCAAACGCAGAAATGAAAATGGAAAAGGAAACGGTTACGCAAAGGGAAATATGGCAGTGTTAATTGCCGTACGCGTGTTTCTGACGCGCCAATTAGCGTCCTACACGTGGCACGCGCTTAACGCCCCTTCTGCATAGCGTGCGCCGGCTTTAGCTGTCACGTCCCTCAAATGCTGAGCCAGCATTTATGACGGGGAAGACAGAGGGATACGGGGAGATCAACCGTATCTCCTCAGAGATTCGAAAATCCACCAAGATTCAAATCGTAACGGCTGATATGTACCATATCCCGTCACATCAGCTCGTCGTTGCGAGCACACTTACCAGGTCGTCACAAATATGACGTATTCGCCAGCTCGGCTTAACCGTGACAATTCGTTCACAATTGTAGATCGTTTACTAAAACCCCCCAAGATTCAGCTCGTAACAGATCTTTTCACAGACCAATGGGTACCTGAGGTCGCCCTATTTAACAGTACTACCCGTGAGGCCTCAAAAATCTCAAGTCGCATTGCGGGTGAGGCCGCGTTGCCTCAACTCGCGATCATGGCAACCGAGCATCATCTGGTCGCACTCCGGTGGTAATCAAGGGTCTGGTCGCCACACACCCTCCGGCGCTCACGTTAACGTGGACGAGCTCACTGAAATGGTGTTATGTACATGGCCACTCACCCTGTGGTGAACCATTTTAGCTTGCTGCCATAACAAGCCCACACTGGTGTGGCTAAGGATATCAGCTCGCCTCCACGCTTTCAGGCTTGCGAGCTCGCCTCTTTTCGTATTACCTTTCAGCTCGGCCATCGCCGAGGTCGGCCGCAAGCTATTAAAGCTGTTCGTCATAGTCACCAGCTAGAACGTCGGCCCAGTTCGTCAACCGAACACCGGGGGGGAGTAATGTTGGAATAGGCCCAACAGGCCCAACACCCAAACAGGGCTGTGCATAACGGGCCTAGGTTACCACCCTTTAGCCCAAGCTGAAGGAACATCAGTACAAGCATACCCACGTGACCAACACCACGTGGGCCAATAGGATGCTCACACGTGCAGATGTATGTCAGCACCAAGAGGCTATAAATACCCCCAACTACCTCCGATAAAGGTAATGAATCTCTACGCTTCTCTCTCTGCAATTACTCCTTGAGAGCCTCTCTCTCTAAAGTATTGAGTATTGCTGACTTGAGCGTTGGAGTGTTTTCCCCGAGGAAACATCCTCGGGATTTTCAGGTGTAGAAGCAGCTGAAGACTTCAACAGTGTTGGATTGTGAAGCTGCCCAAATAGATCCGAATTTGCTCTGCACATAGGAGCACCCAAAATCTGTTTGCGGCACACAAGGGAGGATCGCAAATCTGTTCGCAGAAGAGCCAACGCCGCCGCCCAGCCTGGTTGGAGAAAGTGCAGAACAGCCTCTGTTCTTCTCTGCTAGCCTTGCTTGGGAGATCTGGACAGCAATACACCTGATGGGAATCAAGACAACAACATATCTACTACGTCATGTGATCCGTTACACAGCCAAGGAGGTCCAGTCACGCGAGCTAGGGCTAAGAAGATG